AATATCAAGAAAAAATAGTTACTACTGTTATCAATTAATTACAGCTATAGTTACTTTAGATATAAAATTAATCTGTTATAGTTACTTTTTTTGCTAAAATATATTGATTAATATTACAGTCTCAGATATTATTACATCAGACTGATACAGATAAAAAAAATCAAAATATTGATATAATATAAACTTTTATACTAGATATATCTGTCAATTACTTGGGTAATTTGCAAATTCACCTGTCAGGTAACCCAGGTAGTATTTTTTTGATCAAGTACAAATACTAGATTATTGGATATATGCGTCTAGATAAACTTGTCTGTAAATACCTTATATATAAGAAACAACTCTTTAATCTATTACATTCTACTAAAATATTTTAATTAGTAATATTTACTGATATTACCACTTTTAACAGATTGTATTATTATTATTATTTTTGTCTAGTATAATATTTTTTTTAATATTGCTTAATTTCTATATACAGCAGAATTCAAGGTTATATTTATCTATCAAAATAATCAAATTTATCTTATGAATAAATAATTCCTGAACTTTATAAACAAGACTTTAATTTAAAATATATAGCTAATATAATTAATATTTAAACTATTCTTTTGACATATAACTATTTAAAATTGCTTTTCTTAAATAATTATTTGTTACAAAAAATATATTAAATATTTAATTATTAGATTAGTAATTAAAAAATATATAAATTGAATAATAAAATAAAAGGTTTACATATATTTATTATATTAAGATAAGAACATTATTCACTCTTTATTTTTTTATGTTTAAATATTAACAAGATGATTATGATATTCTCTAATATCTTTTGCAATCTTAAGAGTTTTTTGTATATTTCGATGAATTACTAGTAAGTGACGATCATTATTATTAGCAATTTCTTTTTCTAAATCCTCTACTAAATCTTTTAACTCATTAACCATTAGTTGAAAACAATTAATTATACTGTCTTCAGAATCATTATCAGAAGGTATATATGAAAAAAACAATTATAGCTAATATCTAAATTTGAATAAGTATCTAGTTCAATAAATGAAGAGTCTAATGGTTTAGTATTAACATGTTCAATATATACAAATGGGTATTATATAAATCGATGTATAGAAGTAAGTTTAATAGAATTACTACCTGCTATATTAATAAGATGTTTATACAATATAAATTGACTAATTAAATAAGCTAGACAACTACATATCCATCTTTGAATATCTGTATAATATTGAGTTGAATTCATTGTTGTTTTTTTTACTAAAAATCATCAGGTTTTCTTAAAGTCTTTTTTCTATACAGGCTCAATATGACTAGAAAGAGTAAAACTATATTTATTAATTAATTGTGGTACAAATTGACTAGTAATAATATAGACAAGTAAGTCTAAACGTAGCCTATTAAACTTATATAAAAATTATGTTTAAGTAATTTCTAATGAGCTTCAACGATCATTGTTGTATATGCTAAGGGTATATTATTACTAGCAGATCTTGCCAAAGGCACCAATGATCAGTTTGATACTATTCTCTCCAAAAATATGCCTATAAACATAGTAGATTATTGTTAACACAAAATATGTATATTGCCATTATAGTATTTTCATAAATTGTAGATGAAGATAAAAATATTCTTGAAGCATTAACAAGAATAAGTAGATAATAATTAAGATGTTCTACTATTAAAGAAAGTACTTGACTATGTAATACTAATAAACAAAAATATTGCACAGATGCTGATAGCTTAAATTTGGGATCAATAAAGTTGAAAATCTTGTGTACATC